GCCTTTTGGTTGGTGATTTTTTACCTGGCTTGGATTTCGCTATTAGGATTATATTTTATTTTAGGGTAGCTTAATAATGGCGTTTTGGAGAAAAGGGGTGGAGTAGGATTTCGGTTTCTTAGATTAGGCCCGGGGAACGTGATTTTTGTCTTAGAGTTGGGATTGGGATTGGTTGTCATAGGGATAGGTTTGGCCGAGAGTGCCTTGCTTAGCCCGTTTGGCAAATGATGTAAGGGACGCCAGGCCCGTTTCCCGGTTATATGATATCTGTTTTGTTCGGTTAAAAAAACACATAAATAAATAGTAATAATAATAATAATAATAATAATAATAATCATAAAATCATAATATAATAATAATAATAATAAATAATAATAATAATAATAAATTGTGAAGAGTATCAGGACAAGGGTGCCTTCTTTTGCAGGAAAGAAAAGGGCAACGTTTGGAATGTATTTCGAGTCTGACGTGCTGATGATGAATAACTTGAACTGACCAACTGCTAGCTAAGGTCATGCTACTTCAGCCTCACCACACAGCAGTGCCACACCAAACGAGAAATTTAAAGAGTGAGGGCAGCTTCACACAGACTCCACACATGACTGGGCATACATACATGAGAGAGAGAGAGAGAGAGAGAGAGAGAGAGAGAGAGAGAGAGAGAGAGAGAGAGAGAGAGAGAGAGAGAGAGAGAGAGAGAGAGAGNGAGAGAGAGAGAGAGAGAGAGAGAGAGAGAGAGAGAGAGAGAGAGAGAGAGAGAGAGAGAGAGAGAGAGAGAGAGATGATGATGATGATGATGATGATGATGATTGTAAATTCCATTCCAAGAGCGAACCGAGTTTGCGACTGGATGCATGATGAAACTATATGCGGTTGGATAGGATGAAGCTGACTGCAATTGCGGTTGGAATCCGTTGGATAGCTAAGGATGAACCGGACTGCAATTGCGGTTGGATGGCATGAACCTGACTGCAATTACGGATGGACAGCATGAATTTCAACCTGACTGGCATGGGGATTGAAGGGGACTGTCATTGGATGCATGGTCATTGATCATGCTGATTCATGCATGATAAGGAAGGACCCTATTTTCCAGAATTATATTGGTTGTATATTGTAATTGAGTAGCTGTGCCGAAAAAAAAGTTTAAAAAACATTTCTTGTGGACGGCCTAAAGCAAGCACGCATAGTATTATTATCATATTATGTATACATTTAATCCAAAACTACATGAAAATCTAAATAGATTCAAGCCCGATTTAAGTGAGATCACTGAGATGTAATATAGCATCTCTGTGACGAAGTACTCCATCTAAGAGGTCATTGTTGAAGAGGCACATTTCTATTCGGCCAGTCCGGGTAGACTGTGAGGACCCCGGCCTCAATCATCTTTTGATAATATTAGCCTTGGGCACTGGGCCTTTGAAAAAAAAAAAAAAAATGTTGAACTGATTAGTTGAGTTATAATCTCTTAGTACCACGAAAATAGCTGCATGTGCTTCAGAATCTGCAGCTTAAGTAAGAAACTCAGGATCATTATATACTAGGCTAAGCAGGATTTCCTCTTATCACCCTCCTCTACACTGGGATCTCCGCACGGATGTTTCCATTAAAAATAATCATAATAATAAATAAATAATTTAAATAAATAAATAAATAATCATTGATCTCGGGAAGCGGAACTAGGATTCAAACTGGCGGCCACGGAAACTAGTCGGGGATGCCAGCTCCTCCTCACTATGACGGAGGTGCCATAGCTAATGCTATGGAACGTGCTTCCTTGTTGTTACAGTATTATAGTACTTGGATTTTTCGAGATCATTTTTTCACATATATTTTGGCTTTCGAGATCATTTTTTCACATATATTTTGGCTGCGTAAGCGCGGCTATGTGTTGGGCATCTGTCCGTCTTGACTGACTCTGCTTTTTCTATCTCGAGGATTCCAATGAGGATGCTGGACCTGTTTTTTTCAGCAGGAGCAGGTCCTCACCATTGTCACCAAGAATATCTGATTATAAATTTATAATATCTGATTATATTAACTTCAAGGTCACCGTGGCTGCGGTTTTCAAAAGGTGTACTACGGTCTTCCCCCGCCCGAACATAACGCACCCTAAAAATGAATGTATACAAGCTATATTTCCGGCCAGATACAGCCAAAATGAGGGTGCGTTGTGTTCGGGGGAAGACGGCAGTTGACCGGCTGCTAGCTTCGCAGCAGACGTCCGGTTTCCAGTAGAAACTTGAAAGTGAAAAAAAAAAAAAAAAAAAAAAAAAGAGGACCATTTCAGCAGGGATGCTGGACCCGGTCTTCAGCAGAAAGTGAAAAAAAAAAAAAAGAAAGAAAGAAAGGGGGATGCTGGGCCCGGTTCCCAGCAGGTTCTGTCTGGTTATAAACCGCGGGTAGACTGTGAGGATCCCGGCCTCATTTTTCTCAGATATCAATATCAGCCTTGGGCACTGGGCCCGTAATTAAAAAAAAAAAAAAAAAAAAAAAA